ACGATGGCTACAACAATGTACTCAAACATAGCAACAATTGTGAGGCTGGTGCAGTACTGGGTAGTGTTTCGTTCTGTTGTACATGGGATCACTATGAGTTGGAAATGACTTGATAACAACAACAACAACAACAATTAGAGAGTATACATTGTTAAGCAAGAGTCTCCTTAAAACAGGAGATACTCTTGGGTGTTTAAGCCTCAATTTATAAGCCAAATCCACATTTCATCTCTGGACAACAGGAGCTCCAGAGCTTCAAGTCTGTTTGTATTTAGGTTCTTTTAAGGACCCTAAACCAGAGTGCACACTCAGGAAGAAGAAGTGAGGCCCTCTAACAAGGGGTAACTGGGACCCATTAAACTAAGTTAATCAAATGGAAAGGAAGTATCCTGAGGCCATTCCTAGTGGTAGCAGGCAAGGTGCACATGTAGGGTAGAGCCCTGGTGGGTAGAAAAGGGCTAGGACCAGAGTAGGGTAATGCTGAAGACTATGTTGCCTTGACCTTTCTTTGCCCAGGATGACCAGACACCTGGGACTTTCCCAGTCATTCAGCTGTTTCCTGCTGAAAAGAGCAGGGATTGGGAGAAGGGTTGCCACCTGGCACCTTTGGACAATTGCCATGGCAACCACAGGCCAGGCCTCTTATTCCAGTCATTGCCTGGGAGTGGTCCTCCCACATGTCCTGTTTTCTAATGCTATGGGTTCATTACTGTACAGCTTTCCCCGCTGCCTTGATCTTACAAAACAAGTTTCTTTGGCAACTGTCTGCTGCCTGAAAGGATTTTCCCTGAGGTATTTGAAATATGAAACACCTGTCATGCAAATGCATGAAAATTTGAGATTGAAATTAGTTCTGTGAAGAGAGGGAAATGGTTCTGGAAATAGTTAAGGACAATGTGGAAGCGTCCTGCAAAGTGAGAGCAGACATGGGCTGAGAAAACATGCCTCTTCTGCTCCCAGCTTCAAGGCATGTCTACATGCTCTGTGAATCAGTTCAGGATGCTGCCAGGGGCAGGGGCAACACCTGGACCAAACTGATATATGACCAAGTGAGCTTCACAGGACGGACTGAGCCACATCTGCCATTGTTTCCACCCCCAACCAGAGAGCTGCTGTCACAGCCCTTACCCACAAGAATCATGGGCCCTTGCTGCCCCAAACAGAAAATATACAACTTGAGTCAAGAAGGAGAGGCAAAGACTATGTATTGTGGACAAGACGGACTCCTGGTATTCCTAGCCACATGTCAGAATCAACTGTGAAGCTCATAAAAGCATTCAATGCCTGCACACTCCGCCATGAAATTTACGTTCAGTTGAGGTGGAGTGGGGACATTGGTATTTTTTTAAGTGCTACAGGTGCAGTGTGGGCTCAAGTATAGCAGGGATTGTGGGGCTGGCGCGGGATCGGTCAGTGTTTCGTTCTGCTGTGCGTGGGGTCGCTATGAGTCGGAAATGACTCGACGGCACTTAACAACAACAACAACAGGTGCAGTGAACCACTAAATGGATGAATAAGCATGCAGACTCTGCAATGACTGGTCCCACAGCTTCCTAGTTATGTGACTTTGGGCAAGATACTCAACATCTCCAAAGCCACCATATTCTTGGCTGTAAAACAGTACCTATCTAATGGAGCTGTGGGGACAATTCGATGAAATAATGCAAGTTAAGTTTTGGCATTGTGCTTAAGCACATAGTTAAGTGCTCAAATGTTATTCTTCCTGTTGAAGTGGTGGTTGCCACTACCTAAGGAGCCAGATTCAGAGGTATCTAAGTAAGAAAGTGCCACTTTCCAAGACAAAAGGCCAAGACCTGTCTTTTTCCCAAGGTTGGATAAGATGGAGGTCAGTCAGAACTACTGAGGTCAAGGCTAGGTTAGGAGCTAGTATTAGCACACATCTTTGGTTGCTTTGAGTTCCTGGTGGCACAAATGGTTTGTACACCACTACTAATTGAAACTTTGGCAATTCGAACCCGCATACCAAGTGGTACTATGGAAGAAAGGTCTGGCATTCTGTTCTCTTAGATTACAGTCAAGAACACACTATGTAGAAATAAATATTGATTTGGGTGAAGAGAAGGGCAATGTACCAAATGTGAGTGACCAATATGGCAGCATTGAGGATGAGAAAGACATAGAGAGGTACATGGG